TGTGAGGCTTCAAAGAGTCCCCAGAAGGCCACTGCGATGAGGTCTTTTCAGAATAATTACTTAGGAATGCAACCCAAAGTGATCCATCACTCCTCTGCCGGGCTCAATGTTGGCATGGGCCTGCATGTAAACACAGTCCGGAGGGGAGAGGTGGAAAAGACCTCTGCTCAAAAGTGTGTGAAAGCTTCCATCTCTGTGGTAGGCCTTGGTGTTGAGAGGCAAGGCTCCCTCAGAACATACGGGATTCTTATAATCTGGTCATGACCACAAGAGATACAGGAATCTCTTGGAAAACCAGAAACAGCAAAACAGCTGTTCCTCCGGAGCCCACACTGTGGTTGGTTCTGAAAGGTTCCAACTGAGCTCCGGGAACCAGCGCTATTTAAAGACCTTCCCACAGGAGGCTTTCTAAGGTCTTTCATCTGGAGGCCTGCTCTGTTCAAATGAAGTGGCTTTTGGAAGGCTGGTCTGGAAAACAGATTGAAGAGGAACCTGAAGAAGGCTGAGGATGGACTGGAAGCCAGTATTATTACTGCTCGTCCTGCTCGTTGTGTCTTCTTCCCATGCTTCTCCCCATCAGCTGCCTCTGTACTCCTGACTGGGGGCCTGATTGGCCCAGATGGTCCACAGGGTCTGTCCCTGGTTGGGTGGGAGTTTCCATGTCAGGTGACTATGTCAGTGGATGGAATGGTACAGAGAGTCATGCTCCCACTCTTGGTCAGCTGGGCCAGACCAAGGCAATTCCCCTTAGAATGGGAGAGTGGATAGTACATCCACCATGATTAATCTGTCCAGTGAACCACCAAGTCAGCCCTCTGGGAATGTTTAATTGGAGGATGGTTCTCAATGGGTATGAAACTGCCTAAATTCAAGGAAAGATCCTAAGGGGAAACCTATCAGGAATGCATAGATGGATGGCCCTTGCACTGTGAACATCTCCAGAGGTCGTTTCTGGCTCCATGAATTTGGACTTTCAAAAGGTGTCAACAGCCTAGGACAGTGATGGCGAACCTTTTGAGCTCGGCATGTCAGCATTTTGAAAAACCCCAACTTAACTCTGGTGCCGTGTCACATATAGAAGCTTTTTGATATTTGCAATCATAGTAAAACAAAGACTTATATTTTTGATATTTATTTTATATATTTAAATGCCATTTAACAAAGAAAAATCAACCAAAAAAATGAGTTCACGTGTCACCTCTGACCCGCGTGTCATAGGTGCACCATCACTGGGCTAGGAGGTCAGGAGAATGGAATTCATTTTCTCTTGGGATTTGATCTGTGCTAAGTGGCTAATGAGCACTTGAGGTGTGGCTACTATAAAATGCCATGTGCTGTGAGTGAAAATACACACCGGATTTTAAAGCATTGATGTGAAAAAAATCTAATATTCTCATTACTCATTTTTATATTGAGTATATGTCAAAATACTATTTTGGATATAGCGGTTTAAATAACATAGATTATTAAAATTACTTTCACCTGTATTACTTTTTTTAAATGTGGCTATTTTAAAATGATTCATGTTGCTCATATTATCTTTCTGGTGGGCAGCTGGGTTAGATGGTGGCTGATATTCCCCCTGCACAGGTGTGGCTGTAAGATCTGAGTGTGAACAACAGCCCTTTGCTGAGGGACCCACGTCAATATCCTATTCTTGGTTCATAATCAGAGCCGTGGCCGTTTATCTCATTCTGGCTCTTTGTCTCTTTGCCTCATAGGCTGCAGCCCAGCTCCTTGTCTCAGATAGAACCACTTAATCCTCTCCTGTGGGTTCCCAACATTCCACACGCAGGCAGCTTGTTCTCGGCTCTGCCCCAGCAAGTCCTTACAGGAGTTTCCTCTGCTTCTTCGCCTCTGTTATTCTGCCCGCCTAGTTTCCCCCCTCCCTTTCTAGCACTGGCATGTTGCACATTGTTGGTGTTTGTACTCTTACCCACTTTGCACAGGCCCTTTTCTGGGGCAGTGCGTTCTAGCCCGCAGCTTTCCTTCGGGGACAAATGGCTGCTTTCCAATGCCTGGTCGCAGTTCATCCTGTTTCCCCATGGAATGAAGTTTACAGATGGGACTCTCACTTCCAGAAGTGTATCTACTTTAAGAGTTAATAATGACGATCATATAAACAATGGCTATTGCCATTTATTGAGTTGTATCGCTGGCGAGGGTCTATACTAGGTATATTACATATCTTTGCATTTAATCCTTAAACAAACCCTCAAAAAGGTATATTGTGATCCCCTATTACAGATAGGCTCAACATTATATGCCTTGCTCACAGATCACTGCAAAGAAATGGTGGACCTGGGATGGAAATCTAGATCTGTTCCCGAAGTCCTTGCTCTTCCCCACCACATTTATACTGCCTCCCACATGCTATGTCACCTCCCAAGTTGAGCAACTCCAAGTTGCAATTCAAGCTGCGTAGCAGGTGATATCTATAAGCAAATTTACTGAATGATAACAGTGCTATGCATTGTGCACTGTTTTGATGATTCTCCAGTTGCATTTGATATTCATAAAACTCTGGTAAGGATGGAATAAATGATTTTATGAGCCCTGTTTTACCCACTAGAAAAACTGAGCTGCAGAGAGATAAAGTGATTTGTCCAAGGTCATAAGTTAAGAAATGACCCCAAGCCAAGTAAGAACCCAGTTTTTATTTTTTATATATAAGGCCCGGTGCATGAAATTCATGCACAGGAGGGCTGGTGCCTGCCTGATTGCCCCTACCTGGTTGTCCCCCTGCTGGTCTGATCACCCCTAATTTGCTCCCCTACTGGCCTAATTGCCCCTAACCGCCTCTGTCTCACCCCTGGCCTAAGCTGCAGTCTGTCCTCCCTCTGCAGGAGGCAACCTCGCCAATCAGGTAAAGGCACTGCCCCCATCACCCTGGTGCTGCTGCTGCCACTGCCGGCTACCCCACCATGGCTGCCTGAGCTGCAGCCCATCCCTCCTGCGTGGCGCTGCCTGCCTCTCCCACGGGGCACCGGCCTTAGGCCCTCGCAGCCACTATGGCTTTGTCCAGATGGACATCCAGAAGACATCCACTCTAATTAGCATATTACCTTTTTATTAGTATTATATTATATATATTTCTTTTTCTTTGCTCTTCCATTCTTCCATGTATAGTTGTGCTATTTGGATAGCAGAATATGGCCACATACATTTTATTATGATTGCTGATTTAACCCTGAGTTATGTGAAGAGTTTGCAGGTATAAACTCATTTCAGTTTCTTAGCTGTAGGTAGGTCAGTCTCATTCATTCAGTAAGCGTTGCCTGACCCCAGGCCTGGCCAGTCATTTTGTGGGAAGGGAAGGGTGGATAAGATATGACTTTGTCCTGAGGACAAAGACACCTTCCAATGGATATGACAATCACTTTGTAAAGAGAATATTCCTCTCCAGTGGAAAAGGGGTGTCTTAATGGAATACAAAAACTTCTGAGAAGCACAAAGGAAGAAGGAAATAACTGGGTCTGGAAAAGTTTCATGGTGGAGGTGACTTCTGAGCTTGGTCTCAGTGGACTAATGGAAATGCAAAGCCTGCGTCACTGAGAATTCTGCAAAGAACCTCGTAATTTTATAACTTCATTAGGTTTCCTACAAATAGGCTTGTTGCCACGGCATCTTAGGGAATAGTAGCATAAATTATTTACTGGAATACTTAAAATATTAACATCAATAAATCCCATGGTAGCTTCACAAATACTCTGACCAGTTGGATAAGCCAGTCCTATATAACAAAAGCCTAATATGCTAAGTTAGTCCAGTTGTCCATTCAACCAAGGCCGCTCAACTGCTCGCTATGACATGCACTGACCACCAGGGAGCAGATGCTTCAACCAGTACGTTAGCTTGCTGGTGGGGTCCGGGCGATTGGGACTGAGTGAGATGGGCCAGACATACCCTGGAACCCTCCCTAATCCCTCCCTGGCTCTGACTGTGCACCAGTGGGGTCCCTCGGCCTGGCCTGTGCCCTCTCACAATTCGGGACTCCTTGGGGGTTGTCGGAGAGCTGGTTTCAGCCCGATCCCACAGGCCAGGCTGAGGGATCCCACTGGTTCACGAATTCATGCACCTGGCCTCTAGTTTGAAATAATAGTTTTCAAGTTACTCAAACATTCCAATTCTACAAAGCTGCTAAGAATTCTTTAAAACACATCAGAAGGCCAGAATAATCATGTCAACTTTCTAAACATCAGCCATTTCAGACAGGGTAAGACTCTATGCCTCTAGCATCTCCTGTCCTTTTATTGACATAAAGAGGTCTTTTCTTTCACAGTGGATTCTTAGGGTGTTCTACTCTTCTCTTCCAACCAAGCTTAAGAGTTTCCTATTGTTAAGTGCCACTGAATTGTACCACTTGAATACTAAGAGCCCAGATGAGTATTGTGAAATGGTTGGACTATTTGGAGCTGGAAGGAAAAGAGCCTTCCAAGTTTAGACATTGAAATTCATAAGAGCCAAACCCTTGGGGCAGCCCTAGAAGAGACTGCTCTCTAGCCTGCTGTGGTCCACCGGTGATTGGGTTTTTCTGCTAGCTGAAGCCAGGCTTGACCTCCCACAATGGATCAAATGTGTGTCTCTTTCAAAATCTCTAAGTTGAACTCCTAACTCCTAATGTGATGGTACTAGGAGGTGGGGCCTTTGGCAGGTAATTAGGTCATGAAAGGGATCAGTGCCCTTTTAAAAGGGACTCCAAACAGCTCCCTGGCTCTCCTTTTTGGATGTGAGGATGCAAGGAGAAGCCAGTAGTCTGCAACAAAAGAGAGTTCTGGCAAGAACCTGACCATGCTGGCATCCTAATCTTGGACTTTCCAGCCTCAAGAACTGTGAGAAAGTTTCTGTTGTTTACAAGCCACCCAGTCTATGTGTGTGTTAAGCATAACAAGTGCATTAGGACACCGAGAGCCTAGATAAGGTAGATTTTAGCTAGAAATGCCCTGCTGAGAAGGAAGAGCCCATCATGTGACCCTCTTCTCTCTTGTGTTTCAACTTAGGTGTTTGGTTTGTTTTCTGGGTGTGACAAGATATATTTATACCCTCTACTCATAACCAAGATGGAACGTTCCTTCTGATTCTTGACTCACTGAAGAAGAAGGTCCAGATCTGGAGGCTTGCAGGGCATCAGAACCGGGGTAAGACCTTGATATTCCTGGTGGAGTATCCCACCTGCAAGCAGCCTTTGGAGAACAGAACAAGGGGCAGGAGGCCCTAGAACAGCTCGGCAGCACTGAGGATTACCTATGCACATCCGTATGTTGTTGAGAATTTAAAAGTGAATTGCTTGGCAGACGTGTTCACAAGTGTAATAGGCTGCCTGGGGGTATTTAAGAATAGGCTGGGTGGGCATCTGGGGAGTCATGCATAATTTGAGGGTTGGACGGAAGGCCCTAAGATCCCTTCCAATGTCCAGATTCTGTTATTTGCAGATCTTTGGTTAACTTGTGCATGCCTCATGCTTGCACTTACCACATTGTTCTGTAACTGTATGTCCAGATACGTGTCTCTCCCACAAGGCTAAAAACTCCTTGGAGAAAGGGGGACATTTATCCTTTTATATCCCAAGCATTTAGCACAGGGACTAGTACGCAGGAGATGCTAAGTAAATATTTATCAAATGAATGAATGAATTCATCTTGTATATCTCTGTCTCTCTACGTTAATGTATATCTTGATTTATAGTATAAGTTATCGGCAAATGGACTTGCTTGTTATGAGGGTGTTCATATTCCTTAGAGCCTGTGGTTGCTTGGATACTTGTACGATGGCAGATGCCTTTTGGTTCCCTGAACATGGCACTTCAGGTTAATTGATTCCTTCTCTGCAGATGGAGCTCTATCATGGCAGTTAAGGCAGAGTCAAAGCATGGCCAGGACTTCTCTGCATTCTTGTTCCTAAATGAAGGCTCCTCTGTCAGCAATGACCCTGGAGCTATTGGTTAGAGGCCGAGGCGGGCTCGGCTGCATTAGATGGGCAGGTGTCTTCTGTGTAGTTTCATCCCAAGCTTGGGGAGGGAGGCAGGTGAATGAGGGGGTTCTACTGGCTTGCTGGGCAGAGGGGCAGGTATGCCAACTGAAGTGGGAGTTTAAGTGGGAGAATCTCAGCAAGTTAGACTGGCTGAGGTCAGAATGAGGTCAAGAATCAGAGGCAGATAGGGTGTGGTTTTTAGGTGGAGAAATTTCCAAAGAAGCAGAGGCAGAGGGTGAGGTAGCAAAGAGAATACTTTCCAAATGGATATGCTAAACTGAGATATGCTTGTGTCAAATATCATCATTCACTTATATTTTCATTTATCTAACAAACATATATTGAGTGATTACCTTGTGATAGCCACTGTATAATTGCTAGGAGTGCATAAGTAAGGATGTCTGCTCTCAACTACATAGAGTGTGGACTAAACTAGAGACATATTAACAGTCAATCGCAGGATAGTGTGATACATGCTGTAATGGGGAGAGCACGGGGAAGTCTGAGGGGAACACGTGACCATATCTAAGATGAGATGAGAATGGTAAGTTGTAGTTAGCACTGTGAGGCAGGATGAATGATCTTGCCAGAGCCCCAGGAATTGCTAAATATACAAAAGACCAAACAGGGAAACTTATTCAGGAATGGCAAATACTTTGCTATCATTGGACCTTGGATGCCATGTTAAGTGGTCCAAACTGGCTCATAGGAATGATGAATCATTGAAGTATTTTAATCAAGAAGGGATGTGTAAGCCATCCAGTGTGGCTCAGTGTTGAGCACTGACCCATGCACAAAGAGGCACCACATTAATTCTCAGTCAGAGCACGTGCCCAGGTTCCAGGCTCCATCCCCAATAGGGGGCATGCAGGAGGCAGCCAATCAATGTTGATGTTTCTCTCTCATTGATGTTTTTGTATCACCCTCTCTCTTCCTCACTCTCTAAAATCAATAAAAACATATTAAAACAACAACAACAACACACACACACACACACACACACACAAACAAAACACTTATACTTAAAAAAAAGCAATCAATCAAGGATGGCCAGCTTCTGACTCAGGTAGCTGGGCGGATGGCTCGCTCCACAGGCAGCTCTGAAAAGGGAGGACGATATATTGGTTTAAGGAGAGTTCTGGTCGCCGGGAGAGCCATAGAATGAAGCCTCCATAAGTCCAATGATCCAACCTGGTTCACACCACTCTCTCAGCATAGACAGGTCTCTATTGGGAACTTAATGGTATTTAACATCTGACTAAGGGCTGTGCTAAGGAGAGTTCTGGTCGCCGGGAGAGCCATAGAATGAAGCCTCCATAAGTCCAATGATCCAACCTGGTTCACACCACTCTCTCAGCATATTGGGAACTTAATGGTATTGAACATCTGACTAAGGGCTGTGTTCACTGGTTATTATCATTTATTCATCCATTCAGTCAACCAATATTTATTAAATATCAATTATGTATTAATAATATTCCAACATTCCATAGATCCCAGTGCCCAACTATCCAGGTGGCTTAGTTCTTCTCTCTCCCTCTCCTTTCCCCCTCCCCCTTTTTGCTAGCTATTTATTTTATTTTCAGATTTATTGAGGTATATTTGACAAATAATATTTTAAGATATTTAAAGTGTACATTGTGATGATTTAAGTATACATTGTGAGGTGATTCCTCCCACCTAGTCAACAAATCCTTCACCTCTCTTATCTTTTTTTGTAAACATATTTAAGTCCTACTCTTCCAACAAATTTCAGTTACACAACACAATGTTATCAACTATAGTCACCATGTTATACATTAGTTCCTCAGAACTTATTTATTTTATAGCTAAAAGTTTGTACACTTTTACCACCCTCTCCCAATTCCCCCCACCTTCCTGCCCCTGGCAACCACTTTTCTGCTCCGTTTCTATGACTTTTGTGGGGGGGTTTTCTTTCTAGAGTCCACATATAAGTGATACCATTCAGTATTTGTCTTCCTTTGTCTAGCTTATTTCACTTAGTGTAATGCCCTTCAGGTCCATTTATGTTGTCCCAAATAGCAGGATTTCCTTCTTTCTTGTGGCTGAACAATATTCCTGTGTGTGCGTGTATGTGCGTGCGTGTGTGTGCATGTATGTGTGTGTAAATATAACATCTTAGTCATTCATCTATTAACAAGCCACTTAGGTTGTTTCCATCTCTTGGCTACTGTGAATAATGTGGCAATGAACATGGAGTACAGACATTTCTTTGAAAAAGTGCTTTTTAAAGCCTGAAGTATAACTGTAAGTTTTTAGTAGGCTTTCCACTCATGCCACCCCACCTTATCTTGCATGCTGTTGTTTGAGCTGCCATGTGCTGCTTTAGAGAAAAGCATTTACTCACTTCCTATTCCCAGGGTTGCATTAATTTTTTTCTCTCTCTTTAGTTTCTTCATGAACTTAGTCATGGACAAGGTTTTTTTGTTTTGTTTTGTTTTGTGGGGAGAAAGAGAGAGAGAGAGAGAGAGGGAGGGGGGGAGAGAGAGAGAGAGAGAGAGAGAGAGAGACATGAGAGAGACACATCCATCAGTTGCTTCCCACACAGGCCCCAACCAGGGGCCCTTTGGTGCATGGGCTGATGCTCTAACCACTGAGCAGCTGGCCAGGGCAGTCATTGCCAGAGTTTTGCCTTGTATAAAGGTTAAACACATTATAGAAAACCGTGGACAATTTGTTGTATATGGCCAGAGGCCTGGAAAATATTTTCTAGGCTCCAGAGTTTCGTGACCCACTCTGTGGCTTCCTGGGCCTAAAGTGATGGTGTTAGAGTTACAGTAACAGATGTGATTGATCAAAATATTACTTGAAATACCTGTGTTTGGTGCAATTTCCTTTCATGTTTTATGCTTGGCTTTCTCAAGCTGAGGTGTGAAATTCAGGCAACAGAGAAATCTTTAGGGTTTGCAGGTTGAAGTTAAAGCACTCAACATGAACCTATGCAGACTGGGTTAATAAAGTAAATGCATGGATGTGGGAGCCTCACACATCCAGAGATGTCATCTTGCAAATCTGTTTCCTAGAGCCAGTGGGTGCCTAGGCCACTGGGCCAAGAAGTTTGGGAAATCTACTTTGAAAACCACTCTCCAGCTCTGGGCAGTGGTGCTCAGTGGTTAGAATGTCAGCCCACGCACTGAAAGGTCTCAAGTTCAATTCCCCATCAAGGGCACATATCTAGGTTGCAGGATTGATCCCTGGCTGACTGAGGTACATGCAGTGGGCAACCAGTGGATGTATTTCTTCCACATTGATGTTTCACTCTTGTTCTCACTCTCTCTAAAAATCAATGGGAAAAATATCCTTGGTGAAGGTGAAAAAACAAACAAATCGCTCTCCGATCCTATCTAATAAAAGAGAAACATGCAAATTGACCATAACCCCGACACCCTTCCCATTGGCTAATCAGCAGGATATGCAAAATTAACTGTCAACCAAGGTGGCCGTCGGCAGCCATGCAGCTGAAGCAAAGAGGAGGCTTGCTTGCTCCAGTGACAGAGGAAGCCAATGTTCCTGGCCTGCCGCTGCTGGCCTCTGAGCTGCATTCTAAGAAACAATGTTGCAATTATAGAAGCTAAACAAGCTCCAGAGACCTGCTTTCAGCCAGCTTTGGCCTCAGAGCTTAGAGCTGCTGTGATAGCAACAGAGTTTCAATTTTAGAAGCCAAACAGACCCAGAAACTTGTTTTCAGCCCTCAGAGCTGGAGCCAGCTCTCAGCTCCAGTGACAGCTATAGAAGGTAAATAAATCCCAGAATAAAAAAAAAAGAAAAAAAGGAGAGGCTGGGAGGCTGGGAGCTTCAGTTGTCCGCCAGCCTGAAAACGGCCCTCAGGCCCTCACCCAGACTGGCCAGGCACCCCAATGGACTCCCATCCTGAAGGGGGTGTGACCAGCTGCAAACAGCCATCATCGCCTCATCCAGGCTGGCCAGACACCCAAGAGGGGCCCCCACACTGATCCAGGACACCTTCAGGGCCAACCAGCCAGCCCCCGCACCTGTGCACCAGGCCTCTATCCTATATAATAAAATGGTAATATGCAAATTGACCCTAACAGCAGAACAACTGGGATGACTGGTC